ATATCATGATTCATGAAAAGTTTTTATTTTCTTCTCTAATCTCAAATATTTATGAATAATTTTAATAAATATTAAGATTAACCAATAAGGTAACTATACCATATCCATTTTTATCTTTTTAGAATTAAATTTATTGAATTATTTTATCATTTTTATTTTATTATCTATTAAGGCCATTTTTTTTTACATAACTCACTCACTATGCAATTATTCATTAAATAATAAAATTTATTAATAATTAGTGAGTAAAATGAGAATGAGTATTTATTTAATATAGGTTGAATATAAATATATGGTTTATCTTTATTAATATTATGTCAGTAATTAATTAGTAAAAATAAATAGTCCTATTACTTATTATAATTATAATGTAATTATTTGATACCTTGGTTATGTAAAATTTAATCACTTTTTAAAAATAGATGTGGCTGTTATTTACAGCTGCTCTTAATGCTAATTTTTAAATGTTAATAATATAATATATTTTTTTAGAAAGTGTATTCCTATATTTTTTAAAAGTTTATATTTTTTTACCGATTGAAAAAGGTAACAAACATATATAAGTTGGCAAAAAATTTTATTGATAAAATTTATTATAATTAAGTGTTAAGATTATTGAATTTATGCATAACAAAGTGATGCTAGCTAAGGTCTGGTGGTTTCCAGTCGATATATTTAATCAAATACTTATGGTGGCCCCATCAATAAAATCAAACTGCGACCTTAGACCCACGGCTTAATAGATAATATATTAAACTGGATTGGGTTCGATTGATATCAATTAATAAGCATAAATATTTTTTTAATTAATTTCACTTAATCTAGATATAAGCTGCTAAGGCGCTTTCCATGGTAATGTGTTTGCTCTAACGCATCAGTAATAAACATAAACTCGCGGAAATACTCATCTGTTAATATACTAGCAGAAATATATTGACAGTAAAGTTTTAGTTGTAATAATTTCACAAAAATGAATTCGTCGTACGGCATGGAACAGAACGATTCGGATATCCTTGAACGGAACTTAGGGATCTCTAACGTGATAGGAAAGGGAAGGCCCGGGAAAGTTCCCGTAACAGTTTTAGAATGCTTCGAAAAATTTTATGGTTAATATTTGTTACCAAGTTAGAGAGCTATTAGTTGACACTTAAATTTATATTAACCTACCGCACTAATACAAATTATATAGAAAATGCCTCAATTAATTCTACATGGTTAAATAAATTGGTTTAATATATTATATAATAAAGTATAAATAAAATTAGATTTTTTTTTCGAACGCGTTCCGGAAAGGTGCGAAACATAAAACGGAACATATTTTTTTGCCCCGGATGAACATGAATCCAAAAATGCATTTGTTTCAGGTCCCTGATTTGAAATAATAATTTTGCAATAATGTATTAGCCGTTTTGCTATAATTGAAATTAAATGTGATGCATTCGCGGTAATGTATTTCAAAAACAAATTTTCGCCGTATTCATAAATTTTATTGTATAACTAAAAAGCGAATGACCCATGTCGTTGAAATAGTGTAATATGTTTTTTTTTGGTATGATATATTTATAACAAAAGATCATACGGTTTTTTATAATATTTTGAACAAACATGTTTCATTTCTATTTATTTTTTTTATTCGAAAAACACCTGAATTTTATATCGTTCAAGACTTGAATAAAACAAACTTATCTATAAATATATTTTAATATATTATAAATTATAGTATAGTATAAGCAAATAATTAATTATATAATGAAATTGAACTCTCTATTTAGAGTAGAATACAGAATATAGTATATACTAAATTATTTTATTTTTCTGGTTGGAATGATATTAAGTCTATATTATTATTTTAATTATAAATATTTAGTATATAATTATTTGTCTTGAATAATTTTGAATGACCTATCAAACTAACCCCCGCGATTTTTTTTATTTAAATTGTCATGAAAACTAAATACAACTTATACATACATTTTTATTGGTTTCAAATTACACAAAAATATTATATGTAGTAATCAATATTTCAAATTTATTCTTTATATAAACCTATTATTTTATAATGAGATGAAATGGTTCGAATGACATAATATTTTATTTTATATGCCAGCATATAGTTTTTATAATTATTAATAATGGGTTATCATAGAACCCTGTTTTTTAAAATTTATTATAATGTTTTTGAGTGTAAATAAATTTACATTTCTTATGTTAGTGTTGTATAGAGACACTTTACTAATTTAGTCTAAATAAACCAAACATTCCGCTTTCTCAAACTATATATTCTAATTCGTTCCTCCGTCTCTGAGCTCAATTTAAAATAAAATAATTAAATGAAGACAGATTAGATTTTAATTTTATTATATAGTAATTTAATTTTAAAAAATAAAATATTTTTTTATTGATTTACATAAATTTATACAAAAACAAGATTAAAATTTATATAATACCTATTATATCAAAGTAGCCACTAGCCACGTGGACATCGATAAAACTAACAATTGATTTGGAATTTTTAAATTAAAAATAAAGATATGTTTTTGTTTTTATACCTTTTGTACTTCACCCTCTTCAAAATTATTAAAAATAAAATGTATTTGACTATGTATGAATTATACAATTATGATGTTATCAAATATAGTTCATCTTTTTAAAATGCATTATAATATTGTCATATTTTATTTGAGCTCTTACCTGTGTTGACCTAACTTTGATATTTTGACAAATATAATAATAATTTTTTAAAAAATTAATTTTGTTTTTGTATATAACACTTTAATCAAGCGATCACTTTCAAGGGCACTTAAGTTTTGGCCTACAAAAAAGAGTGTTTTGATCAACAAATAGGATTTTGACCGAACCTAAAGGTAAGTCAAGATATGAAGGTGATAACTTTTGAGGTCACTCATTGTATAATATATGTAAATGTATGAATTATTTTTTTGTGGTTCGCAAAACTGTATTAGCGCAAACCAAAAACAAAATAAAAAGAAAGAAAAAAGTACAGTGTGTATGATTTGTTGTAAAACATTTCATCATATTTATAACATTCTTAGAAAATTGTTTGACTTGATATAATTATTGTAAAAATAACATATTAATAAAATCTAAAAAAAATAAATATAGCAAGTTAAACAATTTTTTATGAAAGTTATTACAAATATATGGAAATGTTTTACAACACAAATCACATTGGTACTGTAAAACCATATGTGTAAAATCAAAATTAATCAATGAAATAATTTGTTAATATACATAAAAAATGACCATCATGTTTGTATAACAATTTCACAATCATTCCTTTTTTTAAAAAAAATAGTCATCGCAAAAATATGCTTTGACAAAACACAAATTGATAAAAAAAATTTAATTATTTAAAAAAAATAAATATATGTATACTTTTATACAAATTGGAAAAAATTCCTTAGGAAAGAAAAGAGTAATTTAATTAATATATTCTGTTTAGAGGGAGATAGATGCCAAGTATCATGGATTTTGTTTGGGTGATTTTATTTTACGAAAAGTTTTATTGGGTTTTAGGAAATATCCGATTAGGCAACACTGATTATATTTTATATTTTATATAAATATTTTAATCTTGTATAAATACAAAATGGAAATCTTATTATTAAAATTATTAGTGATTGATACACTTATTATAAGATATGTATTTGAATCGTAAAATTTTAAATGTAATATATCTCATGGTCATCTATTGAATTTACCATATCAATGAATGGTTGATAATATGATGAGTCAAAATTTTTACTAATGTATTTAACGTTGAGGTGAGTATTAATTTTTCTCTTTTATAAGCCTATGTAATCAGGAAGTCGTTTATAAAAAAAATTATATCCACCAATTTTTCCACTTTGATGTGAAAAAAATTAACTTTTTTTACAAAGCTTTTTGTAAATATATCATTTTATTTGGATATATGATTTAAAAAAATGTATTATATTCATTAGAAGTCGGCAACACCCACCCCGGTCCAGACTAGACAGCAAAAAATTTCTATCAGGGTTTTCGACCCGGCACCTAATTATTTTTACCTTGCCAGTAAAAATGTTTGGTGTAAGTTGACCAAGGCCCGTAATAATTATTTATAAAGGTTAATGACATAAATTAAAAACTTTGGATACTCAAAAACTTTTTTCTCGTTGAGCTTCGGAAGGGGTTGTGGACCTCAAATATACATCTTCTCTATGGAAAAGTTTTCTCGTTACAAATTTTTGAATGTTTTGTTAGAATATGTCTCAGCCTAGTAGTATAAACAAAAATAGGTGATACTTAAGTTTACTGACTAGGAACACATACTACTACTAATATAAATTTTAATAAACTATAAATTAATTATTAAAAAAAATTTTTTTTTTTGAAAGAACTTCTATTTACAACATAAGATTTTAAAATTAGCAAAAAAACAAGAATAATTTTTTTAATTCATAACTAAATATAAAATTTTCAACATTTTCAGAGGGCATTCAAAGTTTTCAGGAGAAACTAGGCCACTGACAAAAAGTTTATTAGAATAAATATTTTTTTGAGATAATAAAGATAAACTGCGAATACTTAATTTAAGTTTAAAATTGAATTGTAAAGTAACATTTAATTTATAAATACTTAACTTATTAACACATGTGATTAACTCCATTTGTCTACTTGTCACTGTTGTTTACTGAAATACAACAATTTATATTTTCTATATTTAAAAACTGAAAAATTAAAATATTAAGTATTGTATAATGCACAATAATTAAAATATGACGCTAAAACCTGTTATGCATCATATAATTCATTTTAAAATTATAAATATTAATACATAAAAAATAAAATATATCATCTAATCATCATTCATTGTTTAATGCCAGATATGATATTTCATATAAAAAATATTAATAAATAAATAATATAAAATTTATATAAATTTTTTTTTATCTTTTTAAAATTATGACTTTTAATTTTTTTTAAAAATTTTCATCATTTTATATAAACTATGAATATATCCTTATTTTTTTTGAAATAATTAAAAAAATATATATATTCCAAACGTAAAAAATAATAATAAAATTATACAGTTATGATATCATGTACTCACTTCTTTGCACACTAAAAAAACCCACATTACGCAATTATCGATTTAAAAATTTTATTTGATTTACCTTATTCTATTTTTATTTTGAAATCACGATTGAATAATGAACCAACCACATTGTTATTTTCTTTGATAAAATAATTTACTTTTACGATATGGCCATCTTGAGACTTCAAAGTAATTATTCTTTCTTACAATTGGAATACAATTAAAATAGCTATCAAGGTAGGGGACTCCCATCTTCATTAAAGTCTTGTTTTTATAGATTTCTAAATCAGCTACTAAAAAAATTTGATAAGTATACTTTTTGATTTTTCAAAATTAGGTATTGAAAAAGATGATCAAGAATAGGTTGAAAGCCCTAAACCTATACTACCGTAATTTCGTAGCAGCGAATATGCAAACGAATGCAAAGGCGGTTCCTTGCATGGATGATTCAAGGAATTCTAAAATATTTTACATAACTATGGAACACGACATTTCCATAAATAGTGAAATCGAGAAGGACCTTGAAAATGGTTCCGATCAGCACAATTCCTATAAATTCTCCACCGTTTTTCCCCCGTATTTTATCGTATTCACAACTGTGATTCAAGTTAATCATTTAATATAATTTTTTTTTTAAATAAACTTATCCCTATATTTTATAATAATTATTGCAATATATTTTAAGTATTGACTTATAAGGTATTATAATTATAAAATTATAATTTTTGCCATGGGAGGGGCAATACTAGGTAGAATTTTCCCTCTTAGATTTAATTGTAGGGCTTTTAGGCCCACTGATTGCAGAAATTTGGCTGAGTGGATTATCGGGCTCCTTTGCTAATTTATTTTAAAATAAAATCTTAGATAGGCCACTCATATATTGTATATTAAGTTAAAATGATATTTATACGAAACATGAAATTTTCGAAGGGAGATACCCCCCCCCCCCCCACCGTCTAACTTTTGGTATGAATATATAATAATCCACAGAAATATGAGAGGGGGGGGGGATTAATCATGTGATGATGCTAAATCTTCTAACATCCATATTATTCTTGATAAATTTATAAGATTATAGGTCTACTTTGCATATGACCTGTTTTCTAAGGCCTGGCATTATCCGATAAAAAAATTGTCTTACCGATCCAACCGACTATGTTTCCCAGATATTCCAGTTCGATTCTATTCTTATTTTAGGAAAAGATCATATCCGAAAAAAGTTAAAGAAAAATATTGGGTTGTTATTAGCGAGTTATACTCTATATTTATATAATTGTATAACAGAGACAACTTTACATCAGGATCATGATCATGTTAAATGCTCAATTAATTGTATTTTTATTAAAAATAATAATCGGGTTTGGGGTTAAATTTAAGATAGCTTTTATAATAAGAAAAAAAGCCACAGAATTTAGAAATTTATTTACTTATATTTCTTTCTTTCCTAGATAATTACAATAAAAAATTATAATTTGTTTTATTAATAAATGGGATATGTATTAATTATCTATAGAGAAAAAAAACTAAAATTAGATCACCAACGTTGATCTTGATAGTTCATTTTTCGTATCTTCTTTCTAATTTCAAAAATAGATTTTTAAAAAAATACAAATAACATTACTTACTACATTTCAGATTACAACATAACTAACTGATAATGAAACAAATGTTTGAGAATGATAAAAATATTTACAAATATAAATAATGCACCTCCCATCTAATTTTTGAAATATTTTAAATTTATTATACGAAACAGAGGTTTTATAATATAATGAAACTTTCTAAAGTTGACGACCTCTTCGGTGACAGTAGAGATCCTTATAATCTGGACCCCTATTGGATTTTCTCTGCTAAAAAATGCTTAATGCTCTATTCAAACAGAATGTAAATGACTTTTGAGGGAACACTTTATGGAGGTTTCATTATAATTATACTTCTTTTTTTAGAAAAAAAACATCTTCCAACCCTATTAATACATAGATCATAATCATATTTTTTTTGTAAACGAAAGTATAAAATTGAGTAGCGGGTGTTTTTTTAAAAAAAAGAAAAGATAATTTGATAATACTAGAAATAAATCATTTTCATGGTTGAATTATGATTTTTATTTGAGGATTATGTTTGAATAAAAAATAATTTAATATATTCCGAATTTTAATCAGGGTGTTAAACAGTTAGGTGGTATGCACAATTCAGTTCCATTCCATCCCAGTCTTCAGTTTAAAACTGTTCTGTTTCATTCCGGTTATTTCTAGACAAATTTATATCGGGTGTTTTAAGTTTTGAGGACCTATAAAAATACGAATATTCAAATTACCGGTTATTTCTAGACAAATTTATATCGGGTGTTTTAAGTTTTGAGGACCTATAAAAATACGAATATTCAAATTAAATAATTGTGGTATTCGTATTTATACGAATCGGATAATATTCGTTTTCGTAATGATACAATCATTATTTGATTCGTCTAATATTTGATTCGATAATTTTATTTTCATTCCAACTTCACAAAAAAAGGATTGAATTTTGTAAAAAAATATTCTATCCAGATAAAAGATAAACATAACTGTTTTCTAAATAAATTTATTTAGAAAATATAATTTAGGAAAACGTTAATATGCTGATATATAAAATCAGCTTGAAAATATTAATTATGCATATTATGGATCAATTCAATTTAAAAAACATTATCCAAATTTTGTTCGATGATATCCAATCCATAATAATTTTTTTATTTAAGTTTATCGTGTTTTGCATCAAAAATTCTCGAAGTCAGAATTAAACCTAAAAGTTCCTAATTCCTCCACCACGTAAAGATTATTAAATCGGAATAGGTTTAAATATGTTAATATACAACAATCGTTATGAATAAGTTTAAAACTGGTTCAAAAATATTTATATTATAACGTTTTGATTTTCGATGTTTACGGTTAAAAAATTATAATGGTTCATTTTGGTTTCGCAGTTCGGTTTGACACAAGCATAAAATCAATCAAATTATTCGTTATTCGATAAACGAAATTAGAATTGTTTGATTTGTAAAAATATGAATATAATTATTCATTTCATACAAACATGAATATACTATTCGCCGCTTAAAAATATCTTATTTTACACTCCGATTCTTTTTTTTATTTTAAGTCCTATAAAAATAAGGTATAAATATTAGAAAATTATACCATCGAAGAAAAATCATTTTTTAAAATCATATCTATTTAAAAATGATTCATTACTCACTTTTATTCTCGCTCATTATAAAAATAGACGTTACATAAAAACCCCCAATTTTGAGAGTGGAATTCTAGGTTTTAATAGTGATCCATTTTAAAATAATACTTATGCGGGTTGGGGTCATATACAATGGACATTCGCTTACGTGAACCTAGAAAGAATTTACCAGGTCAGGAGTTTGATGATTTACTATTATTCTTTTATAAAATTTGGTACGACTATTTTATCTATATTTTAATCAATAATATTACATGAATTTCGATGATAAACAAGTTAGATGCCAAGTGGACCGCTATAAGATAGTAGAGCCCAGCCTTGGACCTATTTATTTTAGGTCCGACTCATTCTAAAAAAAAATTTTTAAAGATCCGAGTTTGATCTATTTTTTTTTATTGGACTCTTAAAAGAAATTATTATATTTTAACCAATCAAGCTCTGAAGGATAATTGAAAATCTTGGTGTTATTCTTGAAAAATGATATTTATATAAAAAAAATGAGGCCCAAGTCTAGTTCCGAATTAAACTTTAAAATAAATGTCTGGAGAATATCTATTTGAGTGTGAACGACCCTCCATACACAGTCTTAGTATAGAGTAAAACTTTCATGAGTGTTCTATGAACTCTATTTGTTTTTTTAAATTATCTCTATTTAATATTTACATAGGGCCTAATTTTACAATCTAAATTTTTTTTTTTAATATTTGTCCGGCCCAATCCCGAACGAAATTTTATTTGTCCCAAGCCCGACCCGAAATATAAATTATTAGTCTCCAGCCCGGCTCAAATTTTTTTAAATATTAAAAAAAATCATATTTTTTTAATTGTAAAAAAAAATTATGCAAATAAAAAATGTTGATGACTTTTTTCTTGCAAAAATTTTAATATTTATTTAAAAATTTAAGTCCGGCCCTACCATAAATTTTTTTTAAATACCAAGCCTGACCCAGTCTAACGGATTAATTTTTAAAAAATAGACGGGAGGCCCGGCTGTGCAGATCAACTCTATCTTTATTTTTAATTATGTATGTTTAATCATACCTTACTGTACACTTCAATATCAACCACACCACTAGTGTTGTTAAACTGCTCGATTTGAGCTCATTTTTAAGAATGGCTAATTCTAACTTATATCTAAAAAGATAATGAAAGCCTGAATATTTTGCTCATAGGTGGCACCATGGTTTGGACATCTATTGGCAAAATCTCGAAGTTTAGGCAATACTGGCTAAAATATTGAGTTAGCCGTTTTAAAAATAATCAAGCCGTTTACAAACACTACGCACCAGAATAAATATAAAATTCATTTGTATTTGTTTTACTCATTTTAACTTGAACGCGTTCGTGAACGAAATTCGTTTTTTTGAAAAAAATGATGAACGACGTCCCTTTTATTCTTGACGAACTTTGAACGTGAACACGTTCCTTTTTTATGATGAACGCGTTCGAATTTAACGTTCGTTCAATTTTAAAAATACTTTTTATTTTTATTTATTTGAAAAATTTAATATTAATCCGATTTTTTTAAAAAAAAGTATTATTTATATTTTTTAATCGGCTGTATTTCCTTTTCACATAATTTATTAATTTGAATATTATTGTTTATATTTTAATTTAATAGATTAGGATAAGCATGGATATTATTATTTAATCCTCATCATCTGATTCTGAAAATCCAAAATCAAATAAATTAACATTACCGTGGCCAAATATGATAAATGTTTTACAGTAATATCCTATATTTAAGGAACTAATTCAATTCTTACCAAGTGTAAAATGTGCACAAAAAGTAATATATCAGTGTCAAAATCTTTAAGTTCCAATTTAAAACGACATTTGATTGTAATATTAATTATTTTATTTTATAATATAAGTAAAATCATTAAATTTGAAGAAAAAATGCATTCGTGATATTTGACCCCAACAATAACGATAGTTATTTTAAAATTAAAAAAAATTAGTGGCCTTAAATATGGTCAACCATTGATAGACGCAGTATTAAATGGGAAATAAAAGGTATTAAAGCTATCACTCTCAATTAATTACATATATTTTATTTTTTTTAAAGATTATATGAAGATCAATATGGTCTTTCTACAATTATACATCCAGTATTCAAGCTTCAATGGCCATGGATAAAACTTCCACAGAACGAACCTATTAAAAATAAACTTATAGTGTTATTGAAAAATATGCTTAGAAAACCCTAGAAATGATAATGCAAGAACTGTTAATTTCGAGATATCCTTTTTTTTTGTCGAGGAAGTAGAAAATGGATGGGAGTAGGATAACTTATCTCAATTTTTTGAAGCAAATAACAAAACAATAAATGTTTTTAATAAATTCTCCACGTTAAAATAGTTATTTATTAAGTGTAATAACGCAATCCCCTCATCTACCCTTGAGCGCGTTTTTAGTATAGCTAATGCCGTATTAACTACCAAGCGTTCTTGTCTATTAGATGATAATTTTGAAAAATATTGTTATTAAAAATTGATAAGAAAAATTTTTTATAAATAAAAATATCTTTTTATTTGCTATATTACATGGCTAATATATTGTATTAAAAAATTTAAGACATTTATTTATATTAGATTAAATTTAAAAAAAAATTTATCATAAAATTTTGAACGGTTCATGAACGTGAACGCGTTCCTTTTTTTTGAAAGTGAACTTGAACATGAAGTTTGTCAATGAACGTTGAACGCGAACGCGTTCGATTTTTTTCGAAATGTTTACAGCTAAAATTAACAATAATTTTTTAAAAAATAAAATTAGAAATTTATATTATATTTTATATCTTATATTATAACCGAGGATTTGTTTTTAAATTTTTGATGTTTCATGCGAAAATTTTTTTTAATACAATAAATAAGGTTTTTTAAAAAATAAATTATTGGAGATGAAATTACAATAATAAAGAGGATTTGTTTGTGAATTTTATGAATGCAAAAATATCGAAAACCTTTATTGACTAAAGGCATGAATGCAATTATTTACAACAATAAATTATTTAAATGTGTGTGAAATTGTTCTAATTATTAACAAATATACTATTTAATTTTATAATATATATGTAATTTAAAGGGTCATAATCAAATAAATTTTTGCCTCATCCTCTTTCTTCAACGGAATTATTTAAAACGAGTAACTCATAAGGCTTTAGATAGGGCTAAAATATTTTGTAAAAAAAAGAAGGAAATAGAAAGTATATAAAAAAAGACAAAACATTTTGAACTTTCCCCCTGGTTTAAAGGGATCTTAAGAGCAGAGTCATGAACCATTATCTATAAAGAGCACGGGTTACCCTGCATTCACAGTTAGAGCGAATTCGCGGTGGAATATAACAGCATATAAAATTATCACTCCGGGTCCCAGTTTAAAGCCAATATTACTACTGGTAATATAATATATAGTTATGTTATTTCGCGAGTTATCTCGGAGGTGATTTGTTGAATCCAGTGAATCAACAAAATTAATAATACTCTATTACCTAGGGTTATAAAATGAAAAAAAATTAACCTATCCCTTAATAATGAATAATTATTTATCTCGATATTTTTCTCGAATGCATTTTTGCAGAATTTGAAAAAAAAATTTCAGGGATTTTGTGAAGATTTTTTTTGTCCCAAAATTTTGAGAAAAGAATCTTCGAAGCTAACAAAATTAAAGATGATTTTTTTTTAAAGATGATTAAAATCATTTTTTTAAAAAATTTGGGATTTTATCATGAAAGATTTTTTTAACGTAAAAAATAAAAAGATTTTTTACAAAAAAAATTGGAATTTTAGGTAAAATTTGGTCAAAAAAAACTTGTTCGTGCGTTCTCAAAAAATCTTATTTTAAAGGATCTTCAGAGATCAAAATCTTTGAAGATTTTTTATTTGAAGAACAATTCAAACTCTGCATTTTTGTAAGGGACATTTCCACCTTTTCAAAATCTTGCATTGTAATATTAATTGAGTAAAATAAAATTTAGAAAAATAATAGGTTTCAAACAAATTTTTATGGCAACTCTTCCTACTTCCGCCACTAAAAGATGTATAATTATATTTATTTGTATAAAAAAATATCATTTTTATTTCCCTAATAATTTGTTCCAATTTATTCACAAAAAATCATTATTATAATTTAACAATCTATCATTTTTTTTTTACAAAATATCTAAGAAATTAATAAAAATGTATATCGAAAAATTTTGACTGGAATATTTCGAGCTCAATTATAAGTTCCATTACCCTAAACCTATCTAAAAATTACATTTTGTCATATATAATCTAGATGACCTTTGTAAAACACATATTACTGACTAATTAATATAGAATATTTAAATAAAACACCGACCTTAAAGATCTAACAAGTTGCTACCAGAACTCTTTACACATCCCTAAGCCAATGATAGTGAGTCACCCCCTTCCCCAACCATCTGATGGCGGAGACTGGCTATGTAGGTTTATAATAGACCCTCCCTATGCAATTTCTTACCTGATTGCTGCCGATGGATTTATTTTTTTGTGTATGCATAAGACATGCCTTCATTTAAATATATTATATTTTAAACTGTCGCCTAAAGCCTTAAGGGCGATTATATTTTGAACGGAACATGTCCAATATGGGACAGATTCTTATGTAGTATCAATTAAATTTTTATCATTTAAAAATTTTTTTAACAAAGTATATTATTTATTTATAGCTCGCCTTTTTCGTATACTATTTAATCGTTACAAATGGATTCAACTCCATCAATCCGACCATAAAAAACAATTCTTTCATATATGACTCTCAAAAACCGAACGACTTTTGGAGAATATTCACTTATATGTTTGTCCATTTTGAGTAATTAATATTACTATTATTATTTATATTTTGCTGGATCATTGAAGTGTCCATTTATCCCCTCCCCCTATATCGCTGGATTGGAATATGTAGGAAAATTAAGAGGGGTTTTAAAGCTAGAGTATTGTTTTTTATTTTTGCAAATATGATATTTGATTATGTTTTTTTTAAAACTTTTAACCTTAATATGTCAAAATAAAATGCAGTAAAGATAAGAAAAGAAAAAAAGAAAAAAAAGTATCGTCCTCGGACGATATATTGCTTACAAAATAATCCATTTATGACTTTTATTATGTCATTTAATTTAGATGGGGACACTTGATAACGAACTTATTAGGACAGCTAATCACGGGAATCCCTTTAGAAAAGGCGCATGGCCATTTTAGAACATCGGTCATATATATTTCGTCGATCATAGGAGGTTACAAGAGCACGCTTATTTATTTTTTACTAGAGTTGGATAGATATCGACTGTTTTTTTTTAAAAAATTATAATTAAATTGTGAATTTGTTTGTTTTGATAGAGAAGGTCAAATATCACTTCCCAGTAAGACAGACGTGTCAGTTCTAGTACAGTCTTTGAGATGTTTTTTATCTTGAATATTAAAGGGCGGAATGTCATTTCATCTTTTTTAATCTTAGATAGCAATTCTTTTATAAATACCGTTGCATTATATGTACAAAATTAGGTTCAATCGGTGCGTCGATTTGGGAAAAAGTTCAATTTAAGATGTTGGGATCATCTAGTGCCGTATATGGACTATCGTTTGCACATTTATCCAACCTAATTCTCGTTAATAATTTTTAATTTAAATATTTCGTTTAGTAATATCTTTCAAGTACAATGGTGTAAGATTGGGCATTAACTAATTCCTTTTGTGATTAAATTACAGAACTCAATAAAAATTTTTTATAATTAGTACTTGTCATTGAATTTATTACATGAAGGAAAATGTAATGATTTCAATAAAAATAATAGTTTATAAAAATTTGATTTTAGTAGGAATAAAATTATAATTACCAAAATCAATTTTTTGTTCATTCATTCTTTTATTTACTTTTGCTATTATGTGATCGAAATTTATGACTCCTTGTTTAAAATTTCCTAAAACCAAATTAAATTATTATATCCGAAAATTTTATTTGTTTTTTAAATAAAATTTGGTTTACATTTTTTTTTAAGCTTTAAACTTTATTCATTATTAAAAGTAAAGCATGATTATTTGTAGTTCGTACTCATTTTAATAATTTTAGTAATTTCTAAGAAGTAAAGTAAATAAGTAATCAATTTATTTTAAATAGTAAGTCAGCCTAATCTTGCAAAAGTGTTTCTCTATATGGGACTTGCAACAGACACATTTTGGAAACCTGCCTTGACCAGTGGGTAGAAAAGATTTTTACCCGAAAATTTAAAAAAAATTTCTTCAACCCAAGTTGACTATAAAATTAATTCTATATTCCAAACCCCAGTACATAAAAAAAATTACCCTAAAATTTATTTTTTGTTATAAGAAATAATTTAAAAATGAACGAAAAATATTCAAAATTGTGAAAAATATTCCCAAAACCGACTCACCTAATTTCCTTTTTGCACTGTAGTTAAACTTAAAAAGGGCCAATTTTTTTTATCCATTCTTAACACGCTTTTGCCTCTCCTCGGCAAAGATGCCATAGTTTTAATCAGAGGCATAACACAATTGTGGGACCCTTTTCTTATCCTGCGAAAATTTAACTTAGGCCCTCCCGAGCTGCTGGGGTGTATGACATCTCTAGTTTAAAAAAAATTGTTTAAATAATTATGTAAATTATTTTAAATTTCCATTTTACAAAAAAAAATGATATTTAGAATTTTCACTCAACATCAATGCGTATGATCAAAGTTATATTCCTGCTATTTCTAAGTAAAAAATTTTTTTTAAAGTTTACCGTTATTTGCTTTAGTCACCCATAAAAACACAGTTTTAATTATAGTTGGGTAATGGCTAATTTGATTAGGCCTAAAGATAAGTACCTAGAAAGTCACTAAGCATTGAGTAGCGAAGTTAATTTATTTCTGCTTCTTTCAAAATCAAAGCTGAGATGATAGTTTTCGACTTAAAACCAGGTTTTCTCTTTTTTTTACCGACTAAAAATAGAGCAATTATTCAATTATAGTTGGAATATAACCTGAATTATTAGCGATTCTTAGGAGATAATGATTTAAAACTTTAAAAGTGGGAGAAACATTTTTAAAATAAGGTCGAAAACTAGGCATTCGAACCATAACGAGTATCGGTTTTAGTTCGATAAAAATAACGGTTCGCTTCTAAAAAAAATAAAAATATCGGTTTATTATAAACCTAAAAACAGGTTCGAACGTTTTTATCGCTCTTCTCTAAAATATAATATTGAGCTCAATTCAATTAAAATATTTTTACTTTCAGAATTCCCTTGTGACAAATTATATCTATAAGGAGAAAGAATAAATTATATATGCTAACTTGGGTTTCTGAAACCGTCATTACAGAAATATCTTGAAATAATCACTGAAAATTAATCAAAATTGATTACAGTTAAAGGATCATTTTTTTAGAAATACATGTTATTTTGCAATCAAAAAATAAATGAATAAATTTTTTTTTTTTAAGTTAAACTTTAAAATATGAAATTTTTGAAAAAAAAATTGTTTATTTTTTTTGACATAAAATTACATTTTAGATATTACAATATGAAGTCATGATATATTGGAAAATTATATCAATCACTGTATTAATAATTTTTAAAGAGATAGGATATTAAAAGGGTAAATACGATTCAGGACCCCAGAAATCACCATAAAAGTGGAAAGACGTTTAAAAGCGAACCGATTTTAGTTGGTTATACTGAAAATATAATATTACTCTCTTCAGGAATATAATTATTATAATTTAAAAAAAAATTTATATATCGAATGTTTAGCGATGTACGAATCAATCACAATTCTCATTCCTTATTCCTCCTTTGGAAGGAGCCCCGTATCAAATAATATACCGCTCTTACCTCCGCAATTTACAATCGTCAATAGCGAAACTTATAACAGGCCAGTTACGAATTTGAATTTCAAAAATTTTAGCCATGATGAATCTCTAATCCACTACTCCTTTAGAAGCAATAATGTTAACAATGTCAATTTCTTTCGTTTATCCACGTTTGCGAGTCAAATAGTATCTATCGATGATAACAAATCTCAAAAACCTTGGATACTTTTACCCAACGAGCTATATTATGATACCAATGCGGATGCTGACTTTTTAGTAAGAGTTAGCCACGTGAGCCATGTAACTGGGGCCTTGGCTGGCTTTCTGATTGGGTTAATATTTTTGAAGGTCATGTCGGAAAAGAGTACAATGGTTGTTACTAAAGCGATCCAGGATGGTTGGCGGCAAAAGTTCGGGGCAGAATTAATTATTGCCCATTTCTATAAACGTTGGAGAGTCTTCCTAAAACTCACTAGCGCGTTTTTGGTTATCGGTCTTACCACAATGACGTCACTTTATTTCATCCATAAAAATTATATAATTCAATGAGCTTGCATTTTATTGTATTAACATGAGTACTATATCACATCGTTATACATCGACAATTAATTATTAAAGAACAAACTATGCATTTCAAATATATCATTGGCAAAACGTTCAATTTACGTTGTTGTGCAAAATGATGATGTATGCAAGATATTTTGATTATTATTTAAAGAAATACGATATATTCATATTTTATATAATTATTTCCTCAAGTGCAAAAAATATTCATTTGTTTTTTTATTAGCCCCCTTTTTTTGTATTATACTCCTCCCATAACTTATTTTCTTAATTACAAAAGTGGCAATATGTATATTTAAAATTTTATATAAATTTGTTCAAAATAAAAAAATGTTTTATATAAAATTACTTTAGTTATATAGTGTCCTAGTTTAAAATGTGACTACGCCCCTCTATTTTAATTTTTTTAAATATGCTTTCTTGCTCCTAAATTATAATATTTTTCTTCAAATATCTTTTGAATGAGTGGATAAAAGCTAAGCCAAATATATTTTCTAATTTCGTAAATTGTTTTTTTATAAAATCTACCTTTAATATATAATTTATTTAATCTTTATACAAGAGCAAGGCATGCTTTAGATATTAAACAAGGCATGATACATTTACCTACGTTTTTCAAGCCTAGTTTAGAATGTAATAAAAAAAACTCCCTATATAAAAAACAAAAATTTGATAATTAAGCAAAGAGAAACTTAAGTATAGGAGGTAATAAAGTTTATTGCCACCAATAGAGATCTACCCCCGCAATATTTAATATCCAAAATGCAATACTATATGTTAGTTTCTTCAAGGGACTAGCTTAATGGTAAGATATTTATCACCTTATCCATAAGGGAACTAGGGATGTATATTATATAAGGAGTGGGAGGAGACACAGGTTATTTTAAGAGTCTTGCGAAAAAAGTTGTTAACCAGGAAATGTTTATAAAATTTAGAATAAAATGATTTCATAGTTATGGAACCTGTTGTTACGGCTCTTTCGATTTTAGAGCATTTGGGATATCTCACTCCCACGGTAATTATTATAATAGAAAAACTTAAAACAATGGCTTTAAATAATTTCAAGCTTTATAAGCCACTTATATACAATCCTGCAAGACATAGATAGGTATACAGTTAAATTTTGTTTACAATTTATATTTTGATTTTATTTATTCTCATTTCGAACACATCTATAAAAATGAGTATATACTATCAGCAATAATTCACCCGCTATTTAAATTGGATTGTTCCTGGATAAAATTAGAGGTCAACCTAGATAGAAAACTTGAATTTATTTCCAGTTTAATATATTGACCAAAAAAGAAAACTTGATTCCTTTAATAAACAGCACACATACCAGATTATTCTTTGATAAAGATATAAAAAAAATTATGAGGATCTGAATGAAGATTCTTTTGAAAATGATCAATTAAGTTTTTTTCAAAAAAGATTATTCTTTTATTTTTAATAAATTCTCTTAATTAAAATTATTATTTATTAAATATAAAACAACCCTCCCATCCTCTGCAAACGTGTGTTTAGCACGGGGAAAGCTGTGTTGAGCACTAAGTTAATTTTTCAAATAACGAGTAACACGTTACTTTTTTGAATTAATCTTTAATCTACTTATAAATATATAATTTGATCTTTTCTGTTTTGTTAATGCTAAATATGGTAAAAAAAATACCAATAGTTACCTTGAGGTAAAATTATCCTCATACTTAAAAAATAAGAATGTTTGAGTATTCTTTTCTATAGAAAAAATCATAACTTTCTTTTTATTCAAAAATAAGTTTCTAGATAACCTTACATATTCGAAAAATATAGATAATTTCGATTATTTTATAATTTATTTTTATACAACACCATTGATGCACAAAACTATTAAATATATGACTTTAAATAATTTTATAGATATTCTGCTGACTTTTAATGAATAAATTACAGGTTTAACAGGGTTGTGTATTTGACCGGTCAAATACGATTCGGTAATTTGACATGTCAAATATGATTCGTTCATTTGACGAGGCAAATTCAAATATTTTTTTTAAGACAATATTAACTTTATTTTGTATATAATCGTAAAATGAATCTATAATATTTTTTTTTACGTAATTTAAAAATATATATTAAAAATATGTAAACTATTTGTAAATTAGAATCTATATAAAAAACTGTATAATAAAAAAAATAATTAGTATAGTAAATTGTATGTTGGGTGGGAGGAGGTCAAGAAAGAGAGCCGTGGATGGCAATGCAGTTAGATCTGCATTCCCTTTTGTTGAGAGTTGAAATTAAGTTTTGTGATAAAAGGGAATTAATTTTTTGAAGCCTTATTTAACATTTGGTTCAATGACCTATAAAGTCACCTGGAAAAATGCTCTCTTTTTGGAACATTATGATTGCTTCCTTTAACGGCTCTAATGAGGCCACAAATTTTTCTACAGTTTTCCAATCTTAACTGGAGAAAAAAATTCAGAGTGTAGGGGAGACTGGGCTTCTGAGTCCGTAATTCTTATGAGCCTTGAGGTTTCCTTCTGGAGTACTCAACTCTAATGGTTATTTTAACCAATTTTATTATTTTTGGTTCAGACTCGAGGCGAGAAATTAAATCACTCTGGTAACTTCTGCTGGGTAATACCAATAAATTTGAAAATTATAACAATTTCGATTTAACCTATATATAATTATATTTATTTTCTTTAAAATAAAAAATTATACTTTATTCTATTATGTCGAAAAATATATTACATATTGATATACTTTGGCTCTCCATTTAAGAATATTAAACCTATTATATTTAGTATAGGATAAACAGCATTTAAATTTCATGATTTTAAAAGCACTTTAAATGTCAGGAATTGTATAATATAATGTTTTGTCATTTTAGTAAACTATTTTAAAATATACAAAAGAAAAACAGACAACGTGAATTATACTTATTGGACCTTTACATTATCAACATATGTGTAAAAACAAAACTTTATTAGAGTAACTTATATAATGTGTTTAAAACTCCTATTTTTACATTAACTCAGTAAATTGTTAAAACATAATTTTAGCATTTTACTCTTGTTTTAAATGGCCACTTGACGTTTTATAAAACGAACTAAAATAATTAACCAGAAAAAATCATTATTAGCTACAATATTTGGACTTAATTCATTATATATAGTTTGGTTTGTATTTTCCTAAAAAAATTTTTTTAACTCGATTATCTTATTTGAATTTTCGAATAATTTTTCTAACCATTTTAAAATAAATTAGAATATGAATTGTTTTTTAAATCAATCATATATTGAACTAAGTTCAGTTTCTAAGCAAGATTTTTTTACAATCATTGAACAAAACTATCATTTAAAGTTAGCCAAGGATTCTAAATTGCACGATGTATTGCATATAGCATTCTTAGGTCACGGAATATTTGGTATGATATTTATATTATCTGGTATTATCGGTAATATACTAACGTTGATAGTGTTGAGTGATATAAAGCCGGATATTCCTATATATTTCTTTGTGCGCTGGCTCTCACTTGTAGACATTGAAACTTGCATCATGTTTTTAAACTATCCTAATATGTATTATTTGGCTAAATATTTTGACTGGAGGTTTCGATTTAATTATTATTACAATTATATCCTTTCAAAATTTGTCGTGGTCTTAGGTTTAATGGGAATGAAATCTGGAGGCATGTTGATAGCCTGCTTATCATTTGATCGTTACATAGCTATTTGTCATCCATTAAAATATAAGAAATGGACGCAAGTACCATTGCCAAAAAAAGTTGCAATGCCACTCGTTATATTAGTTATTTGCGCAATCGGAGCTTTTATGCAATTATTTAGATTTTATATTTCTGAAGTCAAACCGGATTTTCCATATGAAATATTTTTGAAAATGTCTAGTTATTACGATATATGTCAGGATGTATTGCTAAATACTTATTTAGTGAATAAAAAATTTAAAAATGCTTCTGATGCTTTTTGTGATTTTAATGCTACATACATTTCCTTTTGCAAAATTGTTATATTGACCAAAGACGATATCTATGAAAAGTATTCGTTACCTTTAAACAAATCCACAATTTACTTAAATAATGAACATCACACCATATATTATGAAACTCTTGAAAATTATATGATGTTAACTAATTTTTATTATAGAATTGCCCTTTGGATCAGAGAATTTATCACGGTTTATTCTCCTATTTTTTTAATGATATTTTTTAGTACAAGCACCTTGATAAATTTTAAAAGGGTAATATCCAAGAAGAAAATTTTAGGACAGTATGGGAAAAATATAGGTATTATTAGTGTTGTCAAATCGAATCTTAATATTAGTATTGACAATACTGCAAATAACATAATTCATAAAAAGACCGCAAAGATTCATACGATAACATATAAAAAGGAAGATCAATTACTAATGTTTGCTATACTTATCCTGGTAGTCGCATATTTGATAGGTGTGCTACCTTTGTCCTTATATTTTATTTTAACCAAAAATAATAATGGTTACGTAAATAGAAACACTTTTACCTTTGTGATAGCGGCACAGGAATTGGCACTTGCACACTCCGCCATGAATTTTATATCTCACATGTGTACTAACAAAAGTTTTAGAAATCATTTTAAAAGAAAATTTCATAGATTTATATGTTATAATAATAATAAATCCTATAATAATCATGTTGAGATTTCAAAATCAGTCTAGTTAAATTATGGAGGCTTTCTGTCGCACTTTTCAACTAATTATTATGCATGTCAATTTATTGTTATCAAATTTATTACATTTTTAAAATACCAAGTTGCCATTGCTTTATGTCTAGGCTGTGACATCTTACAGCCACATGCTTGAATCAAATCACCCATCTATTCAATGGAACAAGGCCTTAATTGTATATATAGTCGAGGGCGACACCAGCACCACTCAGTAATAAATCATGTAATAAATCGAGGTTTAACAGCTGCCCACATTCCGAGTCATCTTGAGCCCACAAATCTTTCTCAAATAGATGGCATAAGACCTAATGGTATGACAACCATACCTTGGACCCTTGGGAAGCCACTAATATGGAAGTACAGATGCGTCTCTTCATCTCTAACGTACGAGTAGAAGATTATACCCCATGCAATAAAAATAGCTATCCTTGATTAAGTAAGTAGATGTTTTTTTAAATTTCGCGAGTGAATTTCTT